CATGATGGCAACAGATTTCAGAACGGGCAGCGGAATTACCAAAAACTGCCTTTTTGAGTCCCCAGGGCAATATTTTTGGTAGAGCTGTCATACAAATTATTACTGCACACGTCATGCGATTTGACAGGATTGGACCGTAATAAGAATGCCTGTTTCCAACGGGCATAAAAATTCGTATGTGTTGAATTGCAGGTCGCAACTACTACTACTCGTTTGTAGTGAGAGTCAACCAGTTGTATTGTTTACAATTTTCCATAGCATTAATTAAGTGGTCACAACTTGATTTGCATCATTACGGGTTCGGGGATGAGTTTTGGTACCACGTTCATTGGGAACTCAGCTTCAAATAGAGTTATGACGGCAATAATGTCCTTAAAAACGTGCCAAAGCCTCTGCCCATCCAATGTGAGAGATTGTCTGGGGTGGGATTTAAATGTTGAGGGCTTGGGACTGAGGGACCGAACAACCCTAATTGAAATTATGCGGTAAGTCTCTTCAGCGATTGCTCGTTTGTGCTGCGGTATTCCAAAGGGAATACCAGAGAATTTTACCGGGCCGTCTGCCAACCTTCTGTGGCGGAACTGATTAGCAGACAATATGTCAAAGCTTAGCGCTAAGAGGGTGAGCTTTGTAGCTTTACCCTTCAACAGGGCCTTTGCTCCTGGGACTGAGCTACTCGAGGGTCGCCTGATAGGGGAAAAAGTCATGACAAATAAACGGATACATGTGTCGGCAATAGTTTTACTTATTGCCGCGATAATAATCGACATGAACAACAATGCCCTTTGTCCTGGTCATGCTACTGCGCCTGCTGCTTGGGTGCCCTCATAAAGGACAATCGCGGGCCCTTGCCCAACGAAAATTACAGGATCGTTTATGGCGCACGGGGCAACCGCCTGGAAACAGTCTCCCGCTATCACCCGCTGCCAAAACAACCCTAAGGCGATTATCTCAAGTGCTCGCCCTTCCCGTTCTATGTTTGCCCCTGTGCACTCTGTTGTAGATGCTTATCGATTACACGGTGCGCGGTGAAATTATTGCTCCGATTTAAATAAACGTCATACTCGGTTTTCATCAAGTCGTTTTTGATGTTTCAATAAGCGACCCATTGGCAGGGAAACCCATATGCACAGAAGATTTTAAGGATGACACTCTGGTGTGTAACAGGTCTCCACTAATTGGTTTAAACTAGGGCGTCTACATGGATGACGTCATGTACCGACTGGTCACTTTCTAGTTGGTTGGGAGCCAAGCAGCTGCCGGCCAGCCACAACTCTCGCTCATATTTTTTGGTGTCGCATAATATTGCTGCGATAACTGCGATAAAGCGACTAAAAAAAGTAAATCAGAATAAAGGAAAAGTCTTGTCGAGACGGTCTGAAAGAAAGTGTGAATAGACCCGAGCTCAACAATCGACCACAATCAACCTACAGGTTTATGAGTGAGCATAGCCAAAAAAGAAGTAATAATAATAATAGTGTCCACGTCATAGGCATGTCAGACACTGTCGACCAACAATTGCTCCACACTTTCTTGGGTGTGAATTAAGTTACTTTGTTGCCATTGTTCCGTGTCGCGGGTGCTTCCGATGGCTACTGGTATTGAGCCATGGCCCAAGGTGAAGTTCCAGTTGTTGGTCAATTTGTATCTTCTGCATCATCTGACTTTCTATTATTCTTTGCATGCGTCAGCGGGAAATTAAACTGTCAATATATCCATTGATTTTTTTAACAATATTTCTGCATTATCATTGCCGGCTTCTGTTGGATCTTTGTCCATCTCCTATACCCAACTTCTTGGCACTAGTGTTTGCCGACACCCCGTCGGTAAATACCGTCAGGTGAACCTTCTCCAGCGCACCGCAATTTCAGGTTCAATTGGCTTCATAAAATATCGAATCAAAATGACACAGCTGCGTTAGTAGAATTACGTGGCATATTAGATATGGTAGTAAAAAAATCGAAAGACCTGTTTAGAGTAGGTAGGAAATGCGAAATTCGGTAGTCTTTTTTAAAAAACGAATGACTTCATCGCTGGCTCTCACGGCTTGGGAAGGCGAGATCGGACCAGCTCGCTACCTGCTAACCTCATTCCCAAAAACACACGAAATAGGCTTACCTATAAATTAGATGTTTATCTTCATGTCGTAAGAATAAAAGGAAGCGAATATCCAAAGTGTGGTTCGTTCTGCTGAACCTCAAGCGCTGGGTGGCTGTCGCCTTTAGGACGAACCAATTAAGTGGCAGGTTCTATCATTTGTCGTCGCTGGTCCAGGTTTGTAGCGATGCTTTTACTGCGACATATTTGCTAAAAAACGGAAGCGATATGTTGACATTGTTCAGCCCAAATATGTTACGGACCTTTGGCAAAGCATGGGAGTGGGATTTGGGATTAAACACTGCTTTATTGACTTTACTCTAGGATGAGCTAACAAAAACGATTTGAGAATGACCTGCTAATATGCTCTAAACATAAGACATATTATTTGCCTTGATTATTTTTACATTATAGAAGGCGTAGGTGAGAGTTTTGTCGAATACAAAACAATTTGTTTGTCTTAGGCGTTTCCTCGACTCTATGTTCTCGACTGACGTAGGAAGACGGTAGCATGGCAACCGGTCATCCGAGGCATTCTTTTTGTATGGCTTGAGGTTTGTCCTTTACATTAGTAGTATCGGCATAAGGGAGAAACACTTTGATCATATTCCTACACATAGGAAATAAGAGAGAGAAATACAAAATCTTTAAAAATGTAGGCGCACCCCTTTGCGGGGTGTGCAATTGTGAACAGGCGCTTTGCTGCATATCTCCATTTCCCTCGCCCACCCCTTAGCTGAGTAACGGGTATTCGATAGTCTATGGCATCGACTATAGCGTTTTCTCAAGCTTTTAACTGGAATTACAAATATATTTCCGGATTTGGTTAGAAATCTAAATTTTCTATATTGATTAACAATTTTAACAAAAATGGCATACAATTTCAATGACAATTGTGTGGCCAATGAGAGCTTCCGAAATCACTTATATGAAATACCTTTTGTTTCGTGATATAATTTATGAATATCGCTGTTTATAGGTAAACGGCCATAACTAAGTGGGATGATCCTCTTGTTCTGAAAAATTCGCGGTTCATTCATTTTTATTCCTAAGGGGAGGGGTGAACTGCAGTGGCTCACCCTTACACCAAAAAAGTATTCTCACAAAGAAAGTCATTCTCTAAAGAATTTGCGGTTAAATTGTTTTTTGAGCGTTCTGTCGAATTTGCCTAGCCCGTCTTTAGAAAGGTACCAAATATTCAGCAAGAATATGAAGCCGCCGCTTCTTGAAATTTTATGGACACCAACGTTTGGTAAATAAAATTGTTTACCAACTTACATTTTGGCTTAAGGTGCATTGTACTTTTGTACTTTTTATACCCGTTACTCGTACAGTATAGACTATACTAGATTTGTCGGTAAGAATGAAACAGGTAGAAGGAAGCGTTTCTGACTCCATAAAGTATATATATTCTTGTTCAGGATCACTAGCCCAGTCGATCTTTGTCGATGTCCGTCTGAACACTGAGATCTCAAAAACTATATGATCTAGAATGTTGGGACTGGGCATGCATGTTCTTGGGCTTCCTGCGCAGAGCTAGTTTTTTCAGCAGGGTGCCACGCCCACTCTAACGCCCAGAAGCGACCTTAAAACTAAGAAAAAACAAGGAGGAACGTTGTTGTCGAGTAACTTGACTATGAGATACCCGTTACTCAGCTAAAGGGACAAAAGGGAAATGGAGATATGCAAGCAGCAAGGCGAGACTGAAATGCGCCACCTACCGCTGATCACAATATGTGGTTATGTGGGCGGTAGACAGATTTAAGCTTTATGGGCGTTAGAGTGGGCGTGGCAAAGTTTTTTTGGGTCAATCGATAGGTATTGACGAGATCTATACATTTCAGCTAACATTTTTTATCTAGCACGAAAATTGTGGGCGCCAGAGGTTTTGTCGGTTTGTGGGCGTTAGAGTGGCCGTGGCAAACTTTTTTTGGGTCAATCGATGATAGGTATTGACGAAATCAATACATTTCAGCTAAAATTTCTTATCTAGCATGAAAAATGTGGGCGCCACAGGCTTGGGCGGTTCGTGGACGTTAGAGTGGGCGTGGCATATTCGCGGAGCAAACTTGCGCTGCGCTCAAGACTACGGAATCTAAATCTGAGATCCGAATTCTATGTCTTTGATAGCTTCCTAGATATAAGCGTTCATATTTACGATTTTTTGAAGTTTGTGGGCGGTATGTGGGCGTTAAAGTGGGCGTGGCAAACTTTATTTTGAGTCAATTAATAGATATTGATGAGAACAATACATTTCATTTAAAATTTTTATTCTAGCATCAAAACTGTATGAGCCACAGTTTTGGGCGGTTTTTGGGCATTAAAGTGGGCGTGGCACGCTGCTGAATCAAACTTGCGCTGCGTAAGAAGCTCAGAAATCTGCATGCCAAATCTCAATAGTCTAGCTCCTATAGTTTACATAGAGTAGAGTAAAAGTGTATACTAGATTCGTCGGAAAGTATGTAACAGGCAGAAGGTAGCGTTTCCGAACCCATAAAGTATTTATATTCCTGATCACGATCACTAGTCGAGTCAATCTAGCCATAACCGTCTGTCCGTTTGTGCGTATCAAAGAAAAAAAAAATTGATATGATATGATGGTCAATTTGATGAAATCCAGTATCAATTCGGCCTTAATACGGCACATATCAATTTGATATGTTCGAAATGGTTAAACCGATATTCCGGTAATATCATTTTTACCTTAGGCGGTACCAATTTTTTGAAATATTGTTGTTATGATATGATATTTTTGTAGATTTGATATTAATTAAATAAAAAAATAATATACCAAATTTTGTTATTATTTATTTTATTTTACTTACAGTTTGTACAAAACAGTATTTACAGTATTTCTTATTGACACATTATTTTAGATATTTACATAGGGTCATTTCTTTTACTTATGTATATTTATTTACTAAAATTTCTTAATTGTGATTAACTTATAATTATAGTTTTTATACAATCGTACAAGATTCCAGTTCGGCATCCACCACATAAGCTTGAAAGTGCTCGCTAAAATATGAAACCTTAATTAATTGTGAAATAACACAAAATTTGTGAAAGACTTTCAAGAATAAGCAACATTTTATGAAAAGCAATGAAAATCGCATGCATCTGTCTATACATACATATGTACATATGTACATGAGAAGCGACTTTGCAGGGCGGCGTAGACAAAATAATGAACATGCATGTACATACATACATCTAATCATAAATTTAAGCGCATTTTAAAATATGTTTTTGTTTAAATGCATTTATGTTTATTGTTAGATGTACATACTTATTAATTTTGTTTTCACGCTGAAACAGCCTCTACACATACACACGCTTAGGCATACGTATGTATGTACATACATAGTTGCACGTGCTTTTGTTGCCGTAGAGCAGTTATATAAAAAAGCCACTAAGAAAATCGCACACGATGTTAGTTTTTTCCGCTTATTATGTTACTATGTTATTATAGCACTTCACACATATACACATTATATATGAAGCTTACTCACCTTTTCCTTCTTCTGCGCACTTAGGGAAACACTGAAAATGTACGTCTGACCGGCTTCACGATAAAACTCAAGTGTCAAAAAATCCACTAAAACGTCTGTAAGTGCAAGCGAGACAACATGATCGAAGTAGGCCAATTCGAATTTCGAATATATCTTTTTCGCTTCCACTCACGTGATTGATGTCGCCATATTGCTATATCCTCTCTTTTTCGATGTCAAAGCATTTCGGAAAAGAGAGAAATCGACAACTTGGCATTTTTTGGTATCAATTTGACATTATTTAATGGTAAAAGGATATGTGTCTAAAAATCACAAATTTACCATGCGCATATCAAATTGATCCTGGCTCGTTTGTTTTTCTGTGCAGAAACAAAATTTGACTGAAATGTATTTGTCTTGTCAATACATATCGATTGACCCAATAAAAAGTTGGCCACGTCTGCTGTAAAGCCCGCAAACCGCCCAAATCTGTTGGCCCCACAATTTTCATGCTACACAAAGAAGAAAACGGAACAACACTCGCTTGATATTGGCTCCTCAATTTTCACATATGGTTTTCACATATGATTGATATGATTTTGCATCATGTTTTTATGTTTTTCATATCAAACGTAACATCGAAAAGTCTTCGAAAAAATGTATGACTGTGCTTTCGTATTTTTTGTGTATTTATGAAATTGCCGCGGTCACTCAAACATTCGACGAAGAGTGAAAGTGTACAAAAGTGAAACATTTACATTTGTTGTTTATTTTTTTGCAAATGGTAAGTACTCATTTTCAATTGTTTGTCTAATTCTAATATATTTATTTCTTGGACACTAACGTGCTTTTTGGTGGCTGACTACACAGGCTGCACTACACAAAGTAAAATGGCTGGCCAAGATGCCGAACTGGGCAAGTTGGCGTCCACCTTTTCGCTGGGAAATTTCTATCGAGGACAGAAGAAGGAATTCCTGGCGCTGATGCAAAGCTACAGGAGGCATCCGAGTACAGCGTGATCGGTCATTGCAGCTATAATTATTAAATTTAAAAACACAAAAAATGATATTCCCAATAGTATAAGATAATATGTCAAAAAACACCGAAGCTATAATTTGTTTCATATTATTTTCCTACCAATTTTCCGATCGTTCCTATGGCAGCTATATGATATAGTCGTCCGATTTTGATAAAATTTAATTCGAAATTCAGAACTAAATAAAAAATCTTATTTCCAAGCGTAGGAGGTTATATGTTAAAAAACACCGAAGCTATAATTTGTTTCATGTTATTTTCCTTCCAATTTTCCGATCGTTCCTATGGCAACTATATGATATAGTCGTCCGATTTTGATAAAATTAAATACGAAATTCAGAACTAATTAAAAAATGTCATTTCCAAGCGTTGGAGGTTATATGTTGAAAAACACCGAAGCTATAATTTGTTTCATATTATTTTTCCACCAATTTTCCGATCGTTCCTATGGCAGCTATATGATATAGTCTTCCGATTTCGATAAAATTTAATTCAAAATTTATAACTAATTAAAAAATGTTATTTCCAAGCTTAGGAGGTTATATGCTAAAAAACACCAAAGATATAATTTTGTTAAATTTTTTTGACCGATTATTCCTATGGGAGCTATAAGATATAGTTGTCCTATACGGCTGGTTCCGACTTATATACTACCTGCAAAAGTTATAAGACTTTTGGGAAAGTTTCAGCCCGATAGCTTTAAAACTGAGAGACTAGTTTGAGTAGAAACGGACGGACAGACGGACAGACGGACATGGCTAGATCGACTCGTCTAGTCATGCTGATCAAAAATATATATACTTTATGGGGTCGGAAACGTTTCCTTCACTGCGTTGCAAACTTCTGACTGAAATCAATATACCCTCTGCAAGGGTATAAAAACCAAACTGATTAATATTGATATTACAATCATATCAATCTGATATGAAAGTATATCAGTTTGATATGAAAGCATATAAGTTTGTGTTACGTACGCCCTTCCCCATACCAAGATTAACCCCGGCAAAACAACTGCCATTAGTTGAGGGTAGGGGCCGTAATGACTAACCACACTGCGATTGATAAAAGCAAAACAGCAAAAACAATTCGACAACTCATGGGTGTCGCGTGGCCAGAACAACGACCACGATCGACCTGCTCGTAACCGTAATCCAGTAAGGTGGCAAAGTGCACCAGCCGGCCATTGACTCCTAAAATAGGGGAAATGGAGAAACAGTACCCCTAGGTGGGAACACCTAGTTAATTCATCCAATATGGGGGCTAGCGAAAGCTCTAGTCCGGTATAAAAGACCCCAGCCAAATGGAGAAAGGGAGAAATTGTTCTGATCTCTCCATGACGGTGGTCTAGAAGTGCAACTCCCGTCAACACAGACCACGACTGGAAGAAGGCTGGTGTCCAGAAGGATGTCTTGACGTTTCCCTAAGATCAACTTCACCCAGGAGAAAGTCCCGATAACCGGTCCTGCGATCGACCACATTCTGGAGGAAGTCAACCAGCAAAATCCCGAAGGACGAAAAGAACTAGCGAACCAAGTGAATGGCCTAAGGACCCCAAGATGGGTAGCAAAACGTCTAAAGTGGCCGGCAGCACCGCCAATGTGATTAACACAGTAGAGATCGTTGACCACCAAGATGATATTCAGGATGTCAACAAGACCATGAAGCTCATCGTTGGACTACTCCTGGTTATAGTGCTCCTTAAGGTTGTAAAGATCTACAAGCGCTCTGTCCAGAGACGCCGCGACCAACATCATGCCCTGGAGAAAGTGGTGACCCACATTGGAGCATAAGCCGAGCCGATACAGTGAAGTGAAACCACCAAAAAGACAATAAAAGCAGCAAAAAGACAATTGAAACAATACAAATAATAATAAATAAATTGCACTCCAATATTATAAACAAAAAAAGTGAATCGCCAAAACAATCAAAAACAATTTGCGAGTACATGCATTTCTGAATGCAAGTGTAAACAGAACCCCCAATTACATACGCTGAACAAGAAATTGGAGCTGCACCGACCAGCCCAGCCCGAGCATTGGAACTGACGTGTGCCTCAGTGGAACTCGCATACGATGCATACATACATACATATCTATACAGCGATAGTGTTATTTTTTTTTGTGTAACATAATTTTTGTGTTTTGTTTTTGTAAACCGCCTTCAAGTCTTGCACGTATATATGTATATAAACCAATTATAAAATCTCCCAAAGCCCAGGATCCGGAGCGTCGAGATCTCATCGCCCAGGATTAAAAAGAGGGTAAGTTTGTCGGAACACGGTTCCTTTTCTCATACATACATATATATATATATATATCCGTGCACCATGATTACATCAGAAGCTTTAGCAAAAACAATAGACACTGATCCACAATTTAACGTAAGAATTTTATACTTGTTATCAAAAGCGACCCTACCAATAACAGTGAATGAATTGGAATACTTATATATTGAGACCTTCCGTCTAGATTTTTCTCCACTTGCCCACTGTAATAAGACCGAAAAAGCTATCATTATCTCCACCGTTCCAACGGTCATTGTTCTCTCCCGTCTGGATAAGAATTTGTTTTTGGGCAATGTTAATACTTTCCTAGTTAAGACAAAGAATTAATCTGTTAGGAATACATGTAATAATATATAATATCCACATATAATAATTGTTTCATATATATAATCATTTAGATATACTTTTCTTTTTTTTTACCTTTTTTTTTATACATAATAATTAAATGTTAATTTTTCAGCGGCGAGTATCAGCCTTGTAATTGTATGACAATTGCAAGAGCCCTCTGAGCGACGTTTGCAGTCGTAAATAGTCAGCATTTTGCTGATGTGTGCACCTTCACAGGTGGTCAAATCGATACTCTCCGCTAATACAATAATTGTCAATTAATTTAATCCCCATATGAATTAGCCAAAATTATGTTACTCAACACCGGCACACGCCGACCTAAATATGAACCAATAAATTTGTAATGTGAAAAAGTATTCGAAACCATGTTGTGCTAGAACTCTAACAAAGGGGGTGTGCTGACGCGAGGAGTGAAGTAGGTCAAGAACAATGACATAACTTTCGACGGACAACCTTGACAATAGGGGATCGTATTGCGCGGCCCGCGACGATCCATTGGCACACGAATGTGTGAAGGGGAGGGAATATGGCCAAAACACAGCCCGATCGTATTGCGATCAAGCGACAGCTAAGCTTGCCGGACAGTGTGGACTGATGACTGACGAACTTTGTGACTAATATTATTTTCCAGGCACTTTTAATATTTATTCTCGTTATGTTGGAGAGGAGAGAGGCTTACCAAGATCCCACGACCCGAATACGACGTAGCTTATGCCGGCAAATGGTGCCAGAATATCGGACGCCTCTCCCTCGGCCCAAGTCCCTGTCAGGACTCGGGCACTAATATGCCCACGTAACAGAATTGGCGCCCAACGCTAGGACATTTCATATTCCTTAAGGAATTTTACCAGGGTCCACAATCTCGATGCCTGCGGTATCGGAATGGATATACCTAGGGATGGCATAGCTTTCATCTTTATTTGCCATGAGTAATTTGACTATTTGATAGAACAGGGAGCTTAAATAATTTGAAATATGCGCATACTTATTTTATCTTTAAATAAGTAACTTTAAAGTCCCCAACTTCTGTGACTGTCCGTGTTGAGAGGCCGCTCAATCAGAACTTTGTCGCAGAATAGAGGCCTGACTTTGAAATGTTTTTAACCTTAAAAATTCTCTGTTTTGTTCATGGACAAATTTACCAGAACTTCCTTAAATCAAGAACTATGAGTTATCCTTTTTATAATACTATACCTACAACTAAGTGTCGACGACTACTTGCTAAAATTAGCGTAAATACAATTTATAGGTGCTTTCTGGCCGACGCCACACGACGTACTATGCATTTGCCCGGTCGTTTGAATTGGTTCGAGTCCAGAAAGAGCAGGAGCGCAAGCATTACGGTAACGCATTTGGCAGTTGCGGTGCGGGTCTACTGTTCGTTTGTCGATCTAGGACAGAATTGGGGTGGGGGAACTGACAGGAAACGCAAAGCCGA